CGGTCAGACGAAATTATTCAGGACTTATCTCTATTTTACATCCTTATTAAATTTTGAAAATTTAAACAAAGAAGAAGAAAACAATCAATGTTAAATAAAAGCCTGAAAATAAGGAATATGAAGAAGGAATAAATAAAATAAGGAATTTCATATGCAGTTATACTCTGTACCAGCGATTTCGAAGGGGCATTAAAAAAGGAACGTTGTTTCTGGAAAAAACTTTGTTTTGAGGAATGTTTTAACGAAGAAAAACGATTGACCGGGACTTGAAAAAAACACATTTCGACCGGAATAACGTTATTTCGAGCGAAATTTTGCTACGATGTATGGCTTTTTGTAACGCATGTCAAACGTCTATCATCACCTTTTTTCGATTTGGAAGCCCGTTCCTCAACAAAGCGTGGTGGCACTCGCAGTAGACCTAAAAAATACTCCAAAAGTAAAGGGTAAAGGAGGAAGGAGAGTTAGGAAGCGCCTCGCGGGAGAATTGCGTGACTGGAGGCAAACGGTTAGCTAACCTGATTAGTGTTCCAGTGCAAGTGTTTAGATTGTGGGTCGTTTCGATACCCAATGCAATGCCAACTGCAGTCTATTTGCTCAATCAACTGCTCATTGTCTATTGTTCCTTGCGCCGCACAGTAGAGCAAGTCAACGAAAGAGGTCGGACACAATGAAGAAACTTTAAAAGCTTTGCATCTTCACTAATAAGGAACGTAGAGGTCCTCAAGTCGTTAAAGTGGTTTCGTTGTCAAATTATCTCTCCGAAGCACCCCTTAAAATTTAAAATGTGACAAAATATGAAGAGTGAAATTCAGAGGGTATGAATTTGATCGACATGAATCGATCGACAAAGCCGTGAAACGATCGATAAATCCGCGTGTATCGTTTGATAAACCCTCGAATCGATCGATAAACCCATGAATCGATCGATAAACCCGTGAATGATCGCTAAACCCGTGAATCGATGAAATTTGTGTCGTATCGGTGTCGATCGAGTCGCTATCGATCGATTCATATTTTTATTTTGCGATCGATCGATTCATATTTTTATTTTGCGATCGATCCACGTCAATCGAATCGACGCCGGTTTTTCAATCAATGTTCCAATCAATCGCTGTCATAGGTTTTTAATTTTGTTTTTCGATCGATTCATGTCGATCGAAGCGTACTCTTCTGAAAATTTACAATTTTAGTCGAATATTTAATGTCCGAGCTCTTCCGATCTGAGTAGCGAAGCCTGAGTCATCGACTATCGATTTTCTCCCGTATTTGACTCTAAAGTAAGACAAAAACACAGGTAAACTCAGATAAACACAGGTAAACAGGTTTCAGGGTAACAGGTTTCTCTCTTCAGGTAAACACAGATAATAATCGATCAGTGGCGAAGCGTGTATGATCAATCATCGATATCTCCTCATTTGAAACTTTGGTAAAGAATCGATTACTACTAAGGTGTTCTTTGCGAACATCCTGTTCATCGATCCTTTACCATAGGTTTTAATGGCAGATCAATCGATGTATCGCAAAGTACGCCACGCCATCGCAATCGACTCATCGTGAAGTACGTCGCACCGTTGCTCCCGATGGCGTTCCGGTGTGCGTCGACCGCGACTTCTCACCGGCCCGGCGCACACTGGACCGAGTCAATAGGAGAAGTCGGACAAAATTTAGAAACTTTAAACACGTATAACTCTGTTTATATCAAACTTTGAGGTTCTAAAAGTGGTCTCATTGGTTTTTCCGCCCAATTTGCTTCTTGAAGCACTCCTTGAAATTTAAAATGTGACGAGAGAAGTAGCAAAATTTGCAGTTTTAGTCAAAAATTTCATGATCGACCTCTCCGGTTGACTCAATCCACTGTGCGGCGGGTTCCGCTGACGCATTGTGTTGGTCTTCCCCCTTCCTGCACTCGTTTTCTACGTGGGAGTTCTCAAATTTGTCAACGCCATTTGCCGATTTTTCCGATCATTGTTTGATTTGTCGTGACGTCGCGAGCTCGCATTGCCGCACGGGACCAGCGATAACCTATCGGCAAACAGTCACTACGTCACTTAATGTGAGCGTTCATCGGTTGACATGGATTCTTACTCTGATTTTTTTTCTTTTTTCAAGAAACGCGATTGAAATGGCGATACTCTTACCTTAGCAATGTCGGATTTCTTCCATTTAAACGTATGAAAAACAATCGATTGTAGGCTCACCTAAAGTCGATTTTTAAATGGAGGGAAAACAATCTTGCTAACTTGCCACACTGGAAAAAAACACATTGGATCTAGAGTCCAGACTCTTGAAAACATTGACAAGAAAAAATACTCTTGATTCAATCAGATTTAAGCTTCAATCAAAAGGAAATCCGCTCAAATTAAGAGGCTTGGTTCTTGATTTAAGCAAAAATCCGATTGAATCAAGAGTATTTTTTCTTGTCGATGTTTTTAAGAGTCTGGACTCTAGATCCAATGTGTTTTTTTTTTCCAGTGCATCAGGATTTGATACCCGTGTACCTTTGGATAGTAAGTTTTGCCATACCGGTTCATCAACGCTAAATCTACCAGCAGAATATTAGTTTTAAGATGGGAATGTACTTTGTTAACAAGTATTATCATAATATTACGTGATGTTTTTTTTTTTCGTAGATAATCAAGTCCTTCATAATTCTAATATTTCGTTTCCTCTCATGTTGCAGGCTGTAATTGTGACGATCCTACCTTTTGGAATAATAGCTGGAGAAAAGTAAATAGGATTCATCAGCGATGACGAGCGTTCTGAATGGAATGAATGGCATGAACGGATTGAACGGCACAAACGGTACGAATGGGATTCACTCCGTGAACGGGCACAACGGGAGCCTCTACGGGCTCAAAAACCATGAAGACATCGCTGAGAAGGAGACCATGGCCCATGGTTTCTGGACGGTGGGCCTCATCAACTCCCAGCATCGCTACCTTACCGCTGAGACCTTCGGCTGCAAGGTCAGTGTCTCAGGTGTATCTGTAAATTCTTTTTTTTTTTTTTTTTTTTTTTTTTTTATTTTTGAATTGAATTATTTTATTAATATTTTACAAAGTGGAACCACAATTTAACAGAATTGTGGCCGAAGGCCTATGTGTACAAATTAAGAGTATTTGAAGATCCTAAGTAGTTTACATGTTAGCCCCCTTTTTTAATGTTCCCATTATAGTGACTTATTATTCTATAAATAAATCTACATCGAAGATCCTCGGTCTTCTAACTGTTTATTCTTCGTCATTCACCTCGGAATCGTCTGAGAACTTATCATCGAGGGAATCTGTAGATTCATTGCCAAAGATGCAATATGAAATTGCACAGAATTGATTTATAATCACCCTTTGAAAAGTCGAGTTTTTGACGTCATCCACCGCGGTAGTGACACCTTAGGTTTCTTCCATCTTGCTTTCATCTGAGTTTCACGTTGAATAACCAGTGCGAATGTGCGTCACACCGGCTGATGAAAGCAAGGTGGAGGAAATCAAGGGTATCACTATCGCGATGGATGACGTAAAAATCCAACTTTTCAAAGGACGATATCTCGGTTAATATTCAACGTAGAAAGTTTGGACTGATCTTGATATTCTTAGCTAATCTGCAAGAATGAAGCATTAAAGCACGATTCCGTGACCAGCGCAACTGACCTATTCGTCCCTTGTATACAGAGACAAGAGACCCTCCTTTGGTCTCTTCGCGACAGGCGGAAGCTTTTACTTTCGGGGATTCAACACTTCATTATGGACAATTATAGTAGAGCAACAGTCATCACTCTTTTTTCGGCTGTTGACCTACCTTTATGGTGGATGATGAGCTTGGGTGGCGTCATGAGCCAAAAAAGTTTCCCGAACTACAACTTGTTTTGGCTTGTTTGCAAAACGGAACTGCCAACACCTTGTTAAATATCAACCATGTAGGTAAGTGAACAGTTTAATGTTGATGTCCCGAAAGTAAAAGCTTCCACAATAGCCATAGAGTACATAGAGTCGTAATGTAAGTGGGTGAGCTGGCGCCACTTTCAAGCATTTTCCAGGTCCCGAATTCTGAGACTCCTGTGTGACGTCGGATCACTTTTTCGATACATAATCGATTGTTTGCGATACACGGGTACTCGGCCATCCAATGGAAACAAAGAAGATAGGGATCACCACGTATTCCGCACCGCCATTTTGGATCGAACTTGTATCGAAAAAGTGACCCGAACTCAGCGCACACCGGGCTCGGAACTCGTCGAGCAGAACATGGCGCCAGCTCTCCCATTTACATTATGTATCTATGTACTCTATGACAATAGCCGAGATACGAGTGGAGGGTCTCTTGTCTCTGCTTGTATAGTGGTCAATTTTGAATTTTTGGAAGATGAGGTCCCTTTTCATAGATCCTATCATATCTGTTGGTTTTGCTTTGTACAGGTGAACGCGAACGGGTCATCGCTGAAGAAGAAGCAGATCTGGACGCTGGAGCCGGGGGTGTACGGGGACGCAAGCTCCTCCTCGACGGTGTACCTGCGGAGCCACCTCGGGAAGTACCTCTCGGTCGACTCGTTCGGGAACGTCACCTGCGACTCGGAGGAGAAGGACCCGAGCGCCGTCTTCCAGATCTCCGTCGCCGACGACAACACCGGCCGCTGGGCCTTCCGCAACATCATCCGCGGCTACTTCCTCGCCGCCTCCCAGGACAAGCTCGTCTGCACCGCCAAGGTCCCCGCCGAACCAGAGTTCTGGCTCCCCCACCTCGCCGCCAGGCCCCAGGTCAGTACTCCTCACAACTCACCATCTCTAGAGTACCGTCATAGAGAGAGTGTGGCCACGACGCCCCTCCACTTTCCATAGAGGCCTTAGGATCCGAAAATGGCGGCGCTTTGCTTTGGTTTTTGAGGATGAGAAGGGGGTCTTTGCCAACTTTTGACAATCGCACTTGCTGCCAACCTACCTATATCCAGGGTGTCTACAAGTCTGGAAAGTCCGGAAATAGTAATGATTTTTTAAGGTCGGTCCGGAAGTACTGAAAAAGTGCGGAAATCACGCCAAAAGGTCCGGAATTTTTTCATTTTTTGTCATTTTTATCGCAATTTTAGTGAGAAATTGAAATTTTTCGAATTTCGTCAATTGAAGGTACTAAAAAAGTACTGAATTTTTCTGTTGAGGAGGTACTGAATTTCTTGGAAATGTACTGAAAAAGGACTGAAGAAGTACTGATTTCTGGTCAGTCTATTTTCGTAGACACCCTGTATATCCAAGATGGCATGTTGGAATTTTTTAGCCAACGTTCGTGAAAAATTCAGCATAAAATTGATGTCTCAATACAGAGGGAAAAAGCTCACGCACAAGCAGAATTTTCCCTCAAAGAGGTACGCTGTTTGGTGCAACAGTAACGACCATTCAGGAAGGCAACTCCTATTCGTCGATAGGATTAAAAAATGTATGCCAATTCTTTCACGAGAATTTAATTCAGACTTAACGTTACCAACCCTCTCTTTTTAAATCAACCCAGTTCACAGTATACTTCGAATTATAATGTAAGGATGACCTTAAGGTAAAGTTTTTTTTAGTAGATAATTAAATTCTTTATCAGATATTTCATGATTATTTTATCAATTTCTCCCAGAGGGAATTCAACGGTTGTGTGGAGTCGCCCAGAGTCCCTTTATACTGAGAGTCAAGACAATGTGAATCCATTTCTGATTGGTTCCCGTATTTTGGGCCTCCACAGTGTCACAAGCGGGAATAAAGATAACATTTTCACCAATTCCAAAGATTATAATCTAGAATGGACCGGGGAAAAACGGGTTCGACAAGGAACAAACGGAATGAGAGAAGGAACAGGAGAAAGGAATTTGAGAATAAGCCGATCAAAGATTACGAAAAACTGTCAATTTGTGTAACTCTAGAGTCGCCATCTTGTTTGTTTACTCACGGCCATAAGCGGACCCTATCAGCCTATTTTTCGTGGCCATTGAAAATCCGACCAATATTTTTCTCACCCGAAATTTGGCGTCACCGTAGGTGTTTGTGTTGGCTGCGGTTGATTTCGCGTTTGCATTCGTATGCAAGTGGCTGTGTAACGTTTCTCGCCTGACGCACGTATTTCCGCGCTGACGTATTTAGACCTTCAGATGTGCCCCCCCCCCCCCCCCGGGGCCAGAAGGGGGCCCTCAGACCTCTCAGCCGGGGAGAATGTAGACAGTAACGAGATAGCCGACTCCTGCAGACAAATTTAGCCATCCCTCCCCAGGATTGGAACGTCTTAATCCAGCCCCCCTCCCTTTCCTGCCCCCCTCCCCCCTGGCCGACAGCTCCGCGCCCCATTTGCGTCTATGAGAAATGCAAGGCGCCTTCCCTGGCAGCATGGCTTGTTGTTGTTTTGATGCTTATCGTATTTAAGAAGCTCTTTCGTTCAGAGTGGGATGAGCAGAAGCAAGAACAGATTAATATGATAAACGGAAGTTACCCCGAAGTGAATTAATCCTCTCATGTGGATACTACGTTATAACACTATAGCGGGCTGATTTTTGATTTTAATACGGCCGTGCTAAGGAAAAACGACGTATGAGCCTTCAGACGTTGCCGAATTTCTTTTGATACAGTGAGAATTTACTGGGAAAGATGTGAATATTTTTCTTCCAATTTTTTAGACAACGTTGTTGGAAAATTTCAAGGAAAAATAGGCAAGACTCCCTCCCAAGTTAAACATTTTATCGGGGTTAATTTGACAACTCTCGGATGCTCGTTCGGCATACATGAATTAGTTATCATTTTCTCCTCTTGTCTGTAACAACCACCTGTTTTCAACCAATAGACTGATTTAGTGACTATCCGTCATTCGATATAATATCGGAATATTGGTACACACCAAAACAAACGAACAGAACCCCATATACCTCATGAGCTAATTGTGTGATTTAATTAAAATTTAGTCATTGATCGGTCATAAATCAATTGATGACTCATTAAACACGAGAAATTTCGATTGTAAGAAACACCTGGACGCATTTTACCACCATGGCGCAAACGGCGCGAATTAGAAACAAGATTCTGTGTTTTTTTTACGTTTGAATCAAGGGTTCGATATTATATCGAATGGTGTAGCCACTAAATCAGTCAATAGGATCGCTCCATTTTCCCGTCGTCCTCATTTTCTACCACTTTGACTGATCAATTTCGAGAATCAGCCTGCTGACGTGTTCAGCTTGATTTCCTTACATCGGCGGATCCAGGAAGTTGGCAGCACTGTTTTCTCTTCATTCAAACCTATGGAGATGAATCGATCAGTGGCGTGGCGTGAAGGATCGATCATCGATATTTCTCCATTCGAAGCCGTAGTGAAGAATCGATAGTCAAGGTGTTGGTTGCGAACACCTTAATAATCGATCCTTTTCCATAGATTTAAATGGCAGATCAATCGATATATCGCGAAGCCACGCCATTGGAATCAATTCTCAGAGGGACTCGATGCCCCGACAAGAATCGATTCTTCAATAGAGGTTTAAATGGAGAAAAGCCAGCGTTGCCAACCTGCGGGCCGATTATTGAAATTGATAGACAAAGCCATAGACAAAAATGACAAAAGGGATATGGAGGGAACCTATTGGTGGAAGCTGGCGGTTGCAATGGACAAAGGCATTGGGTAATAGAATAACTAATGGCAACGCGCGAGCAACCCGACAGTTAGTCCATCATTTTCTCCCTTAGTCCATAAGAACCATCCAATTCAACCAACAGGATCGCTTCATACGTCCTATGTTTTCTTTGTCTATAGCTTTGTCTAGCAATTTCAATAATCAGCCCGCTGGTAGATCCGCCTCTGCGTGATTTTGCATCGAGAAAGTCTACTTAATCTCTGGTGTGCAAGAGACTTATTCCGAAGGGAAATCGCGCGGATTTGCAAGGCAAGTACAAGTTCACTCAGCACCGACACCGACATGAAAAATAGTCGACGAAACTCGTAGGGCGAACTTGCTCAGAGCCAGACCGGGAACATGCATTCCTTTTCAAAGTGGACGTAGTGCTAAAAGGAACTATGTTGGGCGCAAACCCTACGGACGTGGTCCCTTTTAGTATGAATACGCTCAACTGATTCCGCGAACTGGTCGCTGATCTCTCGACTAAGGCCTCAGCAATGCAGACGGGTCATCCGGCATAGCAAGGAATGACGCTCGAAAGGTCGCCAGTCGCCCAAACGCCGGCCAGTGATATTGGCAGCCGCCGAAGACAAGATATCTTAGAGTGTGTAACTGTGTACACTAATGTCCCTTTTTACCGAGGAGAGTCCAAAAGTAAAGTCTCTAAGGGGAAATGACGGCACGGATTCGATCGACAACCGTGAATCAATCGACAAACGCGTGAAACGATCGGCAAAGCCGTGAATCCATCGATGAAACTCTGAATCGATCGAAGAATCCGTGAAACGATCGACGAAGCCTGTGAATCGATCGACGAACTCCTGGATCGATTGACAAATCCGTGAATCGATCGACATATCTGTGAATCGGTCGACAAAACCCGTAAGTTGATCGAGAAATCCGTGAGTTGATCGACAAACTCATGAAATGATCGACGGAACCCTAAATCGATTAACATATCCGCGACAAATCTTCAAAAGCCGTGAGTTGGTTGCAAATCCGTGAGTCGATCGACGAACTGTGAATCGATCGACAAAATCTGTTGAATCTATCGACAAAAGCTGTCGAATCGATCGACAAAACCTGTGAGACGATCGACAAAACCCTGAGTCAATCGACAAACTTTTGGATCACGGGGTATTCCAAGAAGTCGGTTGGTCCCTTTCCCTCTGCATTAATGGCGTCCTGTGAGGTACGTCGTTTTGTCAACGAACCGAAGAAATCGCTCCGCTCTTTACCGCCGTGCTAAGGAAGAACGCCGTATGAACATTCGAGAGTTGCCAAATTGCCCCGGAAAAAACATGTATTTTTGACGAAGTTCATGCATATTTTTCCTTGAAATTTTCAGATATTTTCGATTAAATTTCGAACAAAGTACGCTGAAAAATTGGAAGAAAAATATTAACAATTTCTCCAATAAATTCGTACTTTATCGGAGGAAATTTGGCAACGCCTGGAGGTTCATACGGCGTTTTTCCTTAGCATGGCAGTATAGTGCCTCCACTCGGATCTCCATTAATTTAGACGTATTTAAATCAAAAGGAACTACCTTTAATGTGACCTGGGCCCTATGGTCCATGAGAATGCATGCATGCCATGGCCCATGTCACAATCTATATAGTTCTTTTTGATTTAAGTGCGCCCAAATCGGGAATAAAAAACGAGCGACAGCTGTTAAATTTAATAATGTATCCAAATGATCCCGGTATCCGTAAATCAGCGAGACCACTCCTCGAGCACGAGTCCTCTTAACGACTTGATCCTTCGTTTTCCTCCGTTAATCCAAGCAGTAAAATACCTCCGCTAAGACAATCTGTTTTGAGCTCTGAATTATTTTTGAGGTAATTTTTTCCGCAGAGCGAACCTCAAGTTTAATTGCTTTGGCAGCAGTTGGATCCGGGAGTCCGGCACGAGCGCCCGTTTACTAGCAGTGCAGTGCTGCCATTTTATTTTCCCAGCGATTCCGGGGTTGCCGGAATTAATTCCGGTTTTTAGAGGTTTATAGGTTTTTACAAAGTTTTTTAGAGTCTAGCAGCGTGTCTAGCAGCAGGATTTTCCCAATTCTATCAGGATTTAAGGTCAATCAGGACTTAATCCCGATTTCATCAGGATTTAAGGAAAAATCCGTCG